ACACACACACACACACACACACACACACACACACACACACACACACATGCACACACGCGCACACACACACACACATTTTTGCACGCTACCTGGTTTTGGAGGGCTGTGTGTGGGTTTCTACCTTTTTGTTGATGGTATGGTATATTGCTGGGGTCCGGGGGTGTCAAGTTGATTAATTGCCGCTGTCTCCTCAGGGGTTGTTTGGTTTTTCTGTGCCCTTCTTGCTGGGTATGTAGGTCCTTTTTTTGTGTTTGATTCCAAGAAGGGCTCAGCAAGTAAGACACCAAAGAACACAACACACATGTCTCAGTGGTATGAGCAGGAAACTGCATCTCTGGCAATTCAGGGGAAAAAAATGCAAAAAGAAAATCTCAGTTATTTGGGCATGCACTTCCATTTCTCGAGGAGTCTAAGGGCTGTGCTCCACTCACTCACTTTGGGGAGTTTGCCTTTCTTTTTTTTTCTTTTCTTTTTTTTGAATAGTACGGTCCTGACTTCTTGTCCAGTCTGGGGAGTATCAGTCCGGTTCCTTTCTGCTGGCAAGAGTAAATCACAGAATACAAGATAAACACACTCAATGCTTCCTTCCGTCTCGGGTGAAGGATCCCTGACCAGCATTGATTACTCCATCATGGACGATTGACTGTCAGATTGCCTGCCCCTCTTCTGAGAATGCAATCCAGCCATGGCACAGAATGATGTATAGAAATCTCCAAAGCAAGAACAGTTGGGGCCCAGCACCTGTTGCCGTGAAGGGCTACCGACTTCACCCGAATACAATGCCCGGTCGTTATAGCTGTATTTGGGGCAACTTTCAGTCTAGGTACAGCAATAATGACTGGGCGTTCGATTTGGTAGCTGACCATGTCGTTGAATGATATGTGAGCAAAAATCTGTTTTCCGCTTCACCGTTGGATAACCAGTTGTGCTGGATGAGAGCAGAGTGTGCAACTACTGCCTGTGTGGTGGATGCCTTGTGTGGTCTTGTGTGTGTGTGTGTGTGTGTGTGTGTGTGTGTGTGAGTTGAAGGACACTACGGCCATGCAGGGTGGGGTGGATATCACGACCGGCATGGGTCCGCTATTGTACACCGTGCCATGGCTGTAGTGGTTCAGAGACTCGGCTCTTGAGGCTGAGGGTGCCCGTTTGAATCCTTGCATACATGGAGGGGGTCCTGTGGCTGATAAAGTGCAGACTGTGGCATGCCAATTCTTCCACCTCAAAAGTGTCATTGACAATGCACACGCTTTAGGCATGCCGCTTCTGGTCGTGGCCTTTAGTGGGCTGTTGGTTGATGACCTGTGGCGTGTGACGAACCACTTCACGACCCCGTGCCACCTTTTGTACCCTTTCTTTTGCTTATATCATACCAACCCCAGGAAAACCCCGTTTTGATTTCTTGCTTTCGAGTGCCGCATTTTCCCTTGTTTCGACTGCTGAGTTCTGTTTTTCTTTTTGCAAAGTCGGGAAATACATGGGAATTTGTGTGCGCCTTAGCGAGCGCACTGGGAATGGGGCTCAGCGGTTGGGAATTCCGGGACAAGCGGAACTTCAACGTGTCCTTTCCGAGTGTGTGAATGTTCCTGGTCGCGTCGGAGAAAACTTTCGGAATTTCGTTCGGATACGAATAAGCGTAGGATTTTCTTTTCCCGCGTCGCTCTTTCGCGTGCGGATATGGTGATTTCAATTTTTGAATTAGGATAGAAGCAAGCTGTAACTGTTTCGGTGCCTTTTTCTCTTTTTTTCTGTTGACGGCGCCGCATATGCAGAAGCTTTCTCCCCTCTGTCCCCTGTATCGCTCCCTCCCGCGCTCCCCTTCCTTCTCCCTCCTCTTTCTCTCTCCCTGTAACTGTTTTTTTCTCTCTCCTCCCCCTCCCCCGTCTTGCTGGTTGCGCGCCCATTTCCCTTTCTTGATTGTCTGAATCTTGGACCCGTCTTGCGCCACTTCTCGCGCCTTTTCTCTTCTCACCCTCTGAGTCTCGCGTACGACGCCCGGTCGATCCCTCGATAACTCCCGCTCGCCAATCAGGTGCGTGGATCGATAGGACCTTCCTATCGCGCGACGGATCTGATTGGTTGAACCTTGAGTTCCGAGGGATCAGCATGGCGTTCGTAGAGCACTCTTCTCAAAGTCTTCTCCTCCTGCTTCTCCTCTTACACCTCATCTTTCCGGTCGCCTCCTCCCCCTTCTATCTTCCCTGTCGCAACTATAAAACCCACAAGCGCGTCCACAAAGCTCTCTTACGTTCTTGACTCCCAAGCCAGCTTCCAGGAAGCAGTGGCTAGGCAGAGTGTTTTGAAGCGAGTCGGTAAGTCCTGTCGGGCTGACGATAGACTGGCCGGTTGCGCGCTGGATCGCCACGACGGACTGTGGGATCTGGGTGAACCATGTCGAGTTTACGACAGCGGGGTGACGATCGCAGTGGTGGGAGTTAGCATGCGGCGGCCGGGATCGTCGGTGTAGGTATGAGGATCGATGTTCGGAGTTGAGTTGATTGGCCCGGGGCCATATTGGAATTAACGGCGAACGCGCCTTTGTTGCGGATTGTTATCTTTGGCGTGAGTGTACGGCGGCAACGCCGAATTTTTCTCTCTCCATACCTCATCATCTTCTATTTTGATTTTCTTTCCCTCGACTCTCACTCTCTCTCTCTCCCTCTTTCTATTTCTTTCTCTTACTCTTTTTGAATGATGATGCGTCCGAATGATTGTCCCTCTCCCGGATGGGAATGAGTTTGCATCCTGTTTCTGTATGAAAGAACTCTTTCCGGAACTCTTCTATTAGTTTTTTGGGTAAGCCTCCTACGCAAGGACCCTATCTTCTTGTCTTGTGAACGGTGGATGCGTATGTACTGTGCAATGCGATCTATCCTTTCCTGTGCATATCTCATTTTCGCACCTTCCACAGTGGATGCATGCATGGAGACGTGTGATTCTTTTTTTTTTTTTTTTTTTGGTTAGACGATTGTCGTCGGGATTTTGTCCAAGAATGCAAGAGTGTTTAGATCTGTAGCTCTGTTTGCATTGCGCATGCCATCTGCCTTATGCTGCACGACATCAACAGCCGAGCCACGAGGCGGCCCTGAGAAACAAGGCACCCAGGGACCAACGTTGTGTTGAACTGATCAGACCCGTAGCCATATGCGTGATCAAGCTGATCTGTGTTTGCTCTCTCTCTCTCGTGTCAAAAAGATTGATTGGGACGTGCGAATCGCTTTTGTTCTTAATGACGTCTCAGGATATTTTGTGATTGATTGACATGGGGACTGACAAACACCCCTCGATTGGGCGTCAGCCTCCCGTATCTCCCATCCCAACGCGACCTTTTCCTTACAGTGAGGAAAGGACACGTGTATGTGAGGGGGACGTACGAGAAGCCGTTGCACAAATCAACGGGCAGTATCACTTCCCTCCGGCCAACCGCTGTTCTGGGTTCGTAGAAGCCGGGTTCGTTATTATCGATACACACTTCCCACGTTACTCGGTATTGTTGCCATTTAACGAGTTGATCGTCATTCTGTGAACGGCAGTAGAACCCCGCTGGCCGCGCACTCTGTGCACCAAGCGTCAGCGTTTTGAGCGCTACGAGTCCAGGGGTTTCCACTACCGTGTGCGGAGTGAAGACGAGCTTAAAGAAAGAGCCACGCGACTGAGACCCTC